TTACCAAGACGTGGAAGCAAAGACTAAAAGTTAATTGGGGAACAGCCAGGTGGCGCAGTGGATAGAACACCGGCCCTGAAGTCAGGAGGACCTGAGTTCAAATCTGGCTTCAGACCAAACACTTGACACATACTAGCTGTGTGACCCTGGGCAAGTCACTTAAGCCCAATTGCCTAGAAAAAAAAATTGGAAACTAAATCATGAAATTCTAAAGAATGAGTGGGTTGAAAAATAAATCATAGAATCAACCAATAATTTCATTCAGGGGAATTACAACAATGAGGCAACATGTCACAATTTGTGGGATGCAGCCAAAGTAGTCCTTAGGGGAAATTTCTATCGCTAAATGCCTAAATCAATAAAACAGAGAAGGAGCAGATCAAGGAATTGGGCATGAAATTTTAAGAAGGAGAAAAAGAACAAATAGAAAATCTCCAATTAAACATCAAAATTGAAATCCCTAAATCAAAGATGAGATTAAGAAAATTTTTTTAAGAAATCAAACTAATAAACAAAAGTAGGTGCTAATTTTATGAAAATACTAATAAAATAGATAAGCCATTAGTTACCTTGATTAACAAAAAGAAAGTAGAAAACCAAATTATCAGTCGCAAAAATGAAAGGGCAAATGCATAATCAAAGAAGATGAAATTAAAGTAATGCTAAGGGGTTATTTTGCCCAATCACATGTCAGGAAAACTGACAATTTACATGAAATGGATAAATATTTATGAAAATATTAACTGTCCATGTTAATAGAAGAGGAAATAGAATATTTAAATAATCCCACCTTAAAAGAAGACATTAAACAAGGCATAAAAGAGTTCCCTAGGAAAAAATCCCCAGGACCAGATGGATTTGAAAGTGATTCTACCAAACATTTAAAAACATTTCATTCCAATACTATATAAACTATTTGAAACAACAGGTAAAGAAGGAGTCCTATCAAATTCCTCTTATGGCACAAATGTGGTTTTGATACCTAAACAAAGCTGTGGGAATATACACACACTAACACATTTTTGGTGGAGCTGTGAAATGATACACCCATTTGAAAATTAATTTGGAATGATGCTAAGTAACAAAAATATCCAAAGTCTTTTAAAAAAGCACTCCATTACACCCCAAGGAAGCTATTAATAAGAAAAATTCCTCATATAGTCCAAAATATTTATAACAGCGCTTTTTGTGACAGTTATGAATTGGAACCAGAGTAGATGTTCATCAACTGGGGGAATGGCTAAACAAGGCATGGAACACAAATGTCAGGGAATACTGCTACCATGCAGTAAGAAATGATGTATGTGATGAGTACAGAGAAGTATGGAAAGATCTTTGTGAATTGATTCAAAGTGAATTAGGCAGAGCCAAGAAAACAGAATCTATATGTATGTGTGTATATATATATATATATTATATATATATACACACACACACACACACACACATATACATACATATACACATACACACAGTAACCACAATAATTGAAATGGAAATAATGACACACAAAAAATTAAAAGTACATGTAACAAAATGTTAAAGATCAAGTGGGACTGAAAAAAACACCATCACCATACCCTGCCCAGGAGGTGAGAGGTCCACAGGTGTTACACATTTCACACCTTTTCCCAAATGCATGGATTAGTTGTGCTGGCTTTTCTTTTCCAACCTAAAATAAAAAATATAATTTGTTACATGGCATGGCCCTTGAGGATGGAGAGAAAGAGGGACACATGGGATACCCTGATGATGTAAAAAACAGAAAATATAATTTTTTTAAAAGAAGTCAAGTATTTCAAGGGAAATGATGGGGAGGAGGGAGAAAAGAAAAGGGTTTAGTGTTAGTGAATATAAGTAGCAGATCTCAAACTCTGCTACAGATCAGTGGTTATGAAAACAATTGCTTTTGTTGTTTAGTCCTGTCTGACTTCTGCTGACCCCATTTGGGGTTTTCTTGGCAAAGACACTGGAGTGGTCTGCCATTTCCTTCTGCAGTTCATCTGACAGATGAGGAACTGAGGGAAACAGAGTTAACTGACTTGACAAGGGCCACACAGCTAATAAGTGTCTGAGGCCAGGTTTGATCTCAAGGAGATGAATCTTCCTCATTTCAGGCCCCAAAGAATACCTGGCTGTCCAGAAAACAATTTGAACTTGTTAAAAAACTGAAAGGCTGCTCAATGGAAAAGATTAGGTATGCAATGTATAGAAGCAAATAAATAAAATAAGTGTTAAATAACTCCAAACACAGAAATTGTTGGGGGGGGGGGGAGGAAACACTACTTGATTAAAAAATAGATGGGATAAGGGAAAAGCCAGAAATTTGATAGGACATCAACACCTCATACCACCTTTGAAATTAAACTACAAATGGATACATGAATTAGGTGTAAAGGAGGAAATCAATAGCAAAGTAAAGGAGCAAGGAGGAAATCACTTTTCACATCTATGGAGAGGAGAAGAGGTTATGACAGAACAAGCAACAGAGAGAATCACAGAAAATAAAATGGATAATTCTGCTTCTGTAAAGTTGAAATGTTTTTGCACAAACAGATCCAATGTAGTTAAAATGAGAAGGGTAATAGTTAAGTGAGGAAAAACATCTTTGCAGTAAAGTTCTCTAAGGACTGTTGCCTATGCAAGATATAGAAGGAACTGATTCCAGTTTCTAAGATTAAGAGCCATTCTCCAATAGGGCAAAGGATATGAACAGGAAGTTTTCAAAGGCAGAAATCCAAACTATCAATGGCCCTATGACAAAATGCTCCAAATCCCTCATAATGAGAGAAGTGCACATTAAAACAGCTCTTTTCTTTCAGTCTGCAAAGTAAACTAATAAATAAAACTAAGATTTGGTTTTATGAAAAAAAAACAATAAAATAGATAAATCATTGGTTATTTGATTAAAATAAAAAGAAAACCAAATTGGAAATGAATAGAGTGAATGCATAACCAATGAAGATGAAATTGAAGCAATTATTACGATGCATTTTGCACAATCATATGCCAGATAAACTGAAAATCTAAGTTTAGTGAATGTATATTTACAAAAATATAAACTGTGCTTGTTAACAGAAGAAGAAAATAGAATACTTAAATAACTCCATCAAAAAAGAGAAATTGCTCAAGTTATAAATGCATTCCCTAAGACCAAATCCCAAGGACCAGATGGATAAGTGAATTCTACTAGATATTTAAGGAACAATCCATTCCAATACTATACAAATTATTTGAAAAACTAGGTAAAGAAGTAATCCTACCAAAGTCTTTTTATAGCCAAAAGATGGTTTTGATACCTACACAAGGGAGAACAAAAACAGAGGAAGAAAATAATAGACCAATTTCCTTAAAGAACAGCAAGGAACCATTTGAAATGAAATCCTAGGAAGGAGATTACAGCAGTATATCACAAAAGTCATACACTATGAGCAGTGGGAGTAACACTAAGATTGCAAGGCTGTTTCAATGTTAGGAAAACTATCAGCACAATTGACCATATCAACAACAAAATCAACAAAACCTGTGTGGTTATATCAAAAGATGTAGAAAAAAGCTTTTAACAAAATGCAATCCATTCCTATTAAAAACACTAGAAAGCATAGGAATCAACAAAACATCTCAAAATTATGAGTGATATATTTTTAAAACCAAGAGCAAGCATTATCCATTATGAGAATTACCTTGAAGCCCTCCGAATAAGATTAGGAGTGAAACAAGAACGTCTATTATCACCACAATTATTCAATATTGTCCTAGAAATCCTAGGTATAGACAGAAGGCAAGAAAAAGAAATTGGAAGAATAAAAATAGACAATGAGGAGACAAAACTACCCCTCTTTGCACATGATATATTTAGAGCACCCTACAGAATCAAATTTAAAAAAAAACTAGTGGAAACAATGAACGACTTTAGCAACGTTGCAGGATACAAAATAATCCCACTTATCATCAGCGTTTCTATAATTCTACCAACAAACTACAACAACTACGTGCAGGAAAAGGTAGAAAGAAATTCCATTTAAACTAACTGCAAACAATATAAAATCCTTGGGAGTCTCCCTGCCGAGATCAATCCATGGACTATATGAAAGCAATGACAGAACACTCTTCACACAAATAAAGACAGATCCGACAACAATTTATATGGGAAGAAGCACACACCAAAAACTTAAAAATACATGGAATAAAATGTTAAAGAACAAGCAGGACTGAAAAGGAAACATGAGAAGACACCATCACCCTACCCCGTCCAGGACGTGAGAGGTCCACAGGTGTTACACATTGCACACCTTTGCCGCATGCATCAATCAGTTGTGCTCGATTTTTTTTTCCTCCGCAAAAAAAAAAAAATACAATTTGTTACATGGCATGGCTCTCCAGGATGGGGAGTAGGAGGGATACATGCGATATCTTGGTGATGTAAGAAACAGAAAACATCACTAAAAATTTTAAGGAAGCTAAGCATCTCCAGGGTAATAATGGAGGGCAGAAAGAGGAAAGAAAGGGGTTTGGGTTAATGACTATCAGCAGCAGATGTTAAACTATATTACAAATCAATGATCATGAAAACAATTGTTCTGATTCTAATTTCCAAGATTAAAAGCCATTCTCCAATAGGGCAAAGGAAGAGGGCGTTTTCAAAGGAAGAAATCCGAGCTACCAATAGCCCTATGACAAAATGCTCCAAATCCAGCATAATGAGAGGAGTGCACGTTAAAACAACTCTTTTCTTTTAGTCTGTAAATCATAGAGATCCGCAGGTTCAGGGACAGTCCCCTCTTTCTGTTCTACAATAAGGTACATGGAAATGCCCCATTCACCAGGTGCTGGTTGAAACCAGAACAAAAACAAATACACCATTAAATCTAAGGAGAGCAGACCAAAGGGATGATATGGAGGAGGGGAGGGGAAGAGTTCCTAGACCGTCTCCTCTCTCCCTAGCCCTGAGGCCAAGACAAGGATGAGAGGAAGGGAGGAAGAAAGGATGGAAACTTCTACCTGAGGAGAGGATGGAAGGAGTGTCCCCAAAGGCTTCTCCCTGCTGGCCTCCACCGCACGGTCCCCCAAGCCCCAGACCTCCAGACAAGGCAGGTAGGAAACCCCAGGGAGGAACAGCCCTGGAGGAGCAGGTACACAAGAGTACACACACACACACATAAGTACATACACACATACACACACAACACACGCATAAACAAAGGTATTAATAGTCCCACGACTCCCTGCCCCCATGCACACACACATGCCCCTTTGAACTAAGACAAGCCCATTTGTGGTGGTGGGAGTTCAGGAGAAGACAGAAGAGAGGGCAGAAGAGAATATAAGGGGGGGATGCAGAGGGGCAGGAGGGGCCTCGGCAGGAGGGGAAGGGGACGATTACCTCATACACAGCCACGCAGGAAAGTGCAGGAATTTCTGGGATCTCTCAGGTGGGGGGGGGAACGGAGTGAGGAGGAAGGACCTGTGGTGGGGGCAGAGAAGGGCAGGGGGTTGGGGGCGAGCAGATCTCCAGCTGGCCACACCCCACCTCTAGACCCAGGTGAAAAGGGAATTCCCTCCTCCTCCTCCTCTTCCTCCTCCTGCAAAAAGCATTCACCTTGGTCAAGGGTAGCAGAGCCGGGTACAGTGACGTCACAGTAGCTGCAGTGGATGCAGTGGAGTAGCCACTCAGAGCAGAGGGAGAAGAAGAGGGCGGTGCTCTGTGACGTCACGCTCACAGGAGTAGGGAGCCCTTCCCCCAAGTCATTTCTCTCAACTGCCATCACCCAGCCTGGGGAGGGGAGTGGGCCACAGTACTTGGAGGAGGGCCCAGGACTGAACCAGGTCCCACTTTCCTGAGGGCAGCTGCTGGGGCTGGGTGGGATGAGGTGAGGCAGCTGAGCTAAGCTTGGGGTTGTCAGGGGTCAGCCACTTTACAGATAACCTGCAGAGGGAGGACAGGGATGGGGGGGGGTGTCCTGGGCTCCACTTAAGGGAACAGCACAGTGGCTGAAGCAGCAGCAGCAGACCTCCAGGTCCTGAATGGGACTTGCATTCCTGACTACCCCCAGAGCAGAGGAGGAAAGGGGTAGTCTGAGGCAGAGGAGATCTCAGCCTCCTTTCTCCCAGGCAGGAGGAGACAAAATCAGACCAGGGGCAGGGACGGATATGGGGACACCCAGCCATGGATGCATCTGTGCCCCTAATCATGCCTGGTCTGTAGGAAACTGGAGGCAGTGGTTGTTGGGCTGCTCCCCCCTCCAATACAGGAGACTTGAGGCAGAAGGTTGGAATCCTCTCAGCCTCCAGCATGCTGCGCTACCCACTAGAAACATCACCCAGGGAACCCAGAGCACCTAAGAGGGCCAGGCATCTAGCAGGGAGCCCTAGAGGTAGAGAAAAAGGCATCTTGATCAGACAGCTGCAGGGAGAGAGACTGGACACCTGAGGACTGTGGGAGACTCCCAGAGAAGGAAAATCTCTCCATTGACACCTTCTCTGCTTGCAGTTTCTACTCTCAGAAACTTGTCTAGAGCATGGTGACCTTAGGTTACTCACCCCACTCAATAAATACAGACTTTAGGTGGTCAAGGGTCAGCCCAAACACTGTCTCCTAGGTCACCCTGCCCTGAGAAACTGGTGAGACCAATGACAATGCTCTTCTACTTGAATGAGAAAGAGGCAGCCACTTCAGAGGATCACCAAGCAGGTGAGTGCAAGGAAATGGTCTAGCAAGCAAGCCCAGAGGCCATGAACCAGGCAGAGTGTTAATGTAGCCCACTAACAAGTACAGAACTTGGAGGAAATATGTATTTAAAAAATGGCTGGTCTTGGCTAGGAAGGATATTTGTTAATAACTAGCCAATTTTGGCCAAGACTTTACGAGTGTCAAATCAGGGAAGTCCAAGCATAGTGTAAAAGAAAATTTAACCTTGAAGTACACAAAAATTAGACATTGAGGGAAACTCTAGATGTAGTCCTTGTAGCAGTAGTAGAGCTAGGACTCCAGTCTGGCTCCTCTAACTCCATATCCCCCTGTTCTGGCCTTTGGACCATGGCCTCCACGCCTAAGCCCTCCAACTCCCCAAAGCCAGCCCTCAACAGGTGTGTGGATGTGTGGCTGTGTGTGTTCAGGAGTGAACCTGTGTGTGCCTTCTCCTCCAGGGATGCTCCTGCCTAGGGCTTCCTGCCTGCCCATGCCTTGGTCTGGAGGTCTGGGGCTTGGGAGTCATGAGATTGGGTGGGGTACAGTGGAGTCCAGCAAGGAGAGGCCTCTGAAGATATTCCTTCCCCTGCTGTGGTGCACATTTCCATCCTTTTTTCCTACCTTCCTCTCATCCTTGCCTTGTTCTTGAGGCTGAGGAGAGAGGAGACAGTCTAGGAACTCTTCCCCTCCCCTTCATATCATCACTTTCTTTTGGCATCATTTAGTGTAATAGCGTATTTATTTTTTATTCTGGTGTCAACCAGTACCAGGTGCATTTTCATGTAACTTGTTGTGGAACAAAAAGAGGGGACTGTCCCTGAACCTGCCAATCTCTGTGATGTACAGACTGAAAGAAGAGAGTTGTTTTAATGTGCACTTCTCTCATTATGAGGGATTAGGAACATTTTGTCATAGGGCTATTGATAGCTTGGATTTCTTCCTTCGAAAACTTCCTGTTCCTTTGACCTACTGGAGAATGACTCTTAATCTTAGAAATTGAAATCAGTTCCTTTTACGTCTTGCATATGCAACAGTCCTTAGAGAACTTTACTGCAAAGATGTTTTTATTCACTTAACTGTTACCCCTCATTTTAACTGCATTTAATCTGTTTGTGCAAAAACATTTCAACTCTTCAAAAGCAGAATTCTTCGTTTTAATTTGTGTAATTCTCTCTGTTGCTTGTTCTGTCATAACCTCTTCCCCTACCCATGGATGTGAAGAGTAATTTCCTCCTTGCTCCTCTAATTTGCTATTGATTCCCTTTTTACACCTAATTCATGTTATCTGTTGGTAGTTTAATTTGGTAGGCAGTGAGAGGTCTTGACATACCAAATTTCTAGCAAACTGTTTTTCCCCTATCCCGTCTGTTTTTTTATAACCAAATTGTGTGTCCATTGCAGGGGGAGACAAAGATCAGGTCAGGCAGGGAGGGACAGGGGTCACCAAAGAAAGGAGCAGGTCTGCCCCTACTGTTCTTGTGTGGGTAGATACTTATCACCTGCGGAATTGCCAAACAAAGTGCGGAATATGAACGTTATGGAACACCACTACCAGGCTGTAATAAATGATGTGTGTGATGAGTACAGAGAAGTATGGAAAGATCTTTGTGAACGGATGCAAAGTGAATTAAGCAGAATAAAAAAAAAACAGTACATACACACAGTAACTACAACAACTGACGTGGAAAGAATGACACGCAAAAAATTAACCAAAATGTTAAAGACCAAGTAGGAATGAAATGGAAACGTGAGAGGACACCATCACCCTACCCTGTTCAGGACGTCAGAGGTCCACAGGTGTTACACATTGCACACCTTTTCCACATGCATCTATCAGTTGTGCTCACATTTCCTTTCTTCCCTAAAAGAAAAAAACATACTCTTTATCACATGACATGGCTCTTCAGGATGGGGAGAGGGATGGATACATGGGATACCCTGGCAATGTAAGAAACAGAAAACATCAATAAAAAAGTTTAAAAAGAGGTCAAATATCTCAAGGGTAATAATGGAGGTGGAGAAGGCAGGAAAAAAGGGGTTTGGGTTAGTGATTATCAATAGCAGATACAATCTATACTACAAATCAGTGATTATGAAAACAATCGGTGGTGGTGTTTAGTCCTATCTGACTTTTCCTGACCCCATTTGGGGGTTTCTTGGCAAAGACACTGGAGTGGTCTGCCATTTCCTTCTAAAGCTCATTTGACAGGTGAGAAACTGAGGCAAAGAGTGAAGTGACCTGCTGAGGGTCACACAGCTGGTAAGTGTCTGAAGCCAGATTTCAACTCAAGGAGATGCTTCTTCCTGACTTCAGGCCCAGTGGGACACCTAGCTGCCTGGAAAACAACAGGAACTTGTTAAAATGTGGGAGGTTGATCAGTGGGAAAGATTAGTTATGCAATGTATAGAAGCAAACAAATAAAATAACTTAGTGTTTAATAAATCCAAAGACAGCAATTGGATGGGGGGGAAAGGGAGCGCACACTATTTGATGAAAAAAAAAACAGATGGGATAAGGGAAAAGCAGTTTGCCAGAAATTCAACAGGACATCAACACCTCATAGCACCTTTCAAATTAAACTACAAATGGATCCACGGATTAGGTATAAAGGGGGATTCGGCAGCAAATTAGAGGAACAAGAAGGAAATTACTTTTCACATCTGTGGATAGCAGAGGTTATAACAGAACAAGCAAAAAGAATAACAGAAAATAAAATGGATAATTCTACTTCTATAAAGTTGAAATATTGTTGCACAAACAGATCAAAAGCTGTCAAAATGAGAACTGTAACAGTTAAATGAGAAAACACATCTTTGCAGCAAAGTTCTATAAGGAGTGTTGCATGTGCAAGATATAGAAGGAACTGATTCCACTTTCTAAGATGAAGAGCCATGCTCCAATAGGTCAAAGGAATAGGAGGTTTTCAAAGGAAAAAATCCAAACTAGACTAAGGAAGAGGAAACAGAAGAAAATATAAGGGGGGTATGCAGAGAGACAGGAGGGGCATCAGGAGGGGCATTGGCAGAATTGGGGGGCTTACCTCATACACACCCATGTAGGAAAGTGTAGGAAATTCTGCCATGCATAGGAGATAGAGAAGGAGGGGTATCAAGGGAGGGGGAGGTACAGTGATGTCACAGTAGGGCAGGGCTAGTCTTCCCCCAGAACACAGGGAGGAGGGAGAAAAGAGGGGAGGAGGCTGTGTCACCACAGGCACCGAGGAGTAGGGAGGCCCCTCCCAGTCATTTCTCTTAACTCCCATCACCCAGCCAGGGGAGGGGAAGGGGCCACAGTGCTTGGAGGAGGGCCCAGGGCTGAAACACGTTCCAGGTTCCTAAAGGCAACTGCTGGGGGCTGAGTGAGATGGGGTGCGGCAACTAACCTCAGCTTGGAGGGGGAGGGCAGGGTTGGCTTAGGGGACATGACACTTATAACTCTTAAGAATTGTATCTTAGGGGAAGCTAGGTGGTGGGGTGGATAAAGCATGGCCACTAGAAGAAGTATACATAGACAGAGAGTGTGGGTCTAAATGGACTTTGATGATATGATATAAAAACATTAAGGAGTGAGAAGGAGGGTTGAACTGTGAGAAGAGGGAAGGGAGAGAAAAAACAGAGTAAATTATATTGCTTTAAAGGTGTAGAAAACCTATTTCAACGGTGGGAAAGAAAGGAGAGGACCGAACATTGCTTGAACCTTACTCTCAATGGATTTCTATCAAAGAGGGAATAATACACATTCAGTTGGGTATAGAAATCTATCTTATATAGGGTGGATGCATAGCCAATGAAGATGAAATTAAAGCAATGTTTAGGAGTTATTATGACCAATCATATGCCAGAAAAACTAACAATCTATGTGACGTGGAAGAATACTTACAAAAATATAAACTGCCCA